AACACTTTCAGAAGGATAATATGGGGCGAGGTGGTGTTCTTAGATGGAAATATTGGTGCACCGAATTCATTTCGTAGTGGCAGATTCAAAATAATTACTGTTGTCATGGATCCGATTAATACAAGTATCCACCTGGAGTGTAAAGGAAGAGTATATCCTGTTTGAGTTCTTGAAGAACAGAGTGCTGTGGAGGATAGTTTCAGTTGTAAAGAAACTCTCTCGAAGGAGCCAGTTGAAGCTGTATTTTCCAAAATTAATGGTGCAATCCATCCCAGCCAAAAACACAACCCAGAGGAGGAAGATGGTGACAAAGCAGACGACATGGCAGGAGCGTCCATTGGAACCAATAAGGGCACGGCATCTGGGATGAAGGCTATAGATGAGCTGGCTGTATGAGGCAGTTGGAGTAACACATCTGTTGTTGCTGAGACTATAGATTGTGTTGGGAATTCAAATAAAGCAGGTACGTGTGTGGCTGGATCAGTATTGCCAGTGTTAAGTCTACACCAGAGGAGTAATCATTTTGCCCAAAAAGGTGTAGAACAACAGCTAGTCCCGCAAAATCTGCAGAAGTGGGTTGAGTGCAATCATGATCCACAGAAAAGCCTCTCAGTAGACCAGGCAGTAGAGGACCAGATCAATACCTCGGGATTTATTAAAAGCCTTAGTCAGTCTCCAAAAGAGAGGCCTGGCATCTGTATAGAGTTAGCTCTGGGCCAAGATCTAAATGGGTTGCAGCCCAATGAGTTAAGGCACCTGAATTTTCTAACCACTGGACCCTTTATTAGTGGATCAAACATCTTAGGTGTGAAGCAGCCGTGTGAAATATCAGGTGTGAGTCCACAATCTAAGGCCAACGATACTTACAGGCAACCCATTTTAGGCTTCTTCAACAGCCATTTTAAGAAAGGTAAAATGAAAGTTACTAGAAGGGAAGGGTTAAAGCACTCACTATTTGCAGGAAGGTTCTTTGGATTTGCAAGAAGGGTAGGTCACAAAGGAGCTGGTTCAAGCTATGGGTCCAAAAGAGGAATTAAAGCCAAATCATCTTCGGTTCACTCCTCACCCAGTCCTATTTCAGAATCAATTCACACATCCTCTTCAAAAGAAACTCTATATGAGGCCTTTGCAACACTTCAGGTTGAGAAAACTCTGGGGATTGATTATAAGGGTCAGGAATCTGAGGTTGTCAAGAAATTCATGCACATGGAGGAGCAAGATAAAGTGAGAATGGCTGGAGGACCTGGTATTGTCGAATAACAAGTTTCCTCATGGGTGCCATCTGGAGTATGTCTGTTACACATGAAGATCCTAAGCTGGAATGTCAGAGGTCTACGAAGGCCTGAAAAGAGGAGGAAAATCAGAAAGATATTGTATGATAGGGCAGTAGATTTGGTTTTGCTTCAAGAAACAAAGCAATCAAGTATCACAACCTTGTTAGTTAAAAGTCTTTGGTCTAGAGGTTAGATGGAATTCATGACTGTAGATGCTGCAGGCCTGTCTGGTGGATTAATCTGCATTTGGGATCCTGATGTCTTCCATCTTTCAGATTGTTGCTGCAGCAGGAACTTCATTCTTTTGTTAGGTAAGGTTCACAATTCTTTTGATTGTGTTGTGGTCAACATCTATGCCCTAAATGATGTAATAAGGATGAAGGCTTTATGGAAGAATCTGTTAACTTTGAAAACAAATTTTGCCAATCCATGGTGCCTTGGTGGAGACTTCAATGAGATTAGGAATGTGGGGGAAAGAATAGGAGTTTCTCGCAGGGATAGAGGCATGCAGGAGTTTAATGACTTCATTGAAAATTGTGAGGTGGTCAATGTCCAAATGCTAGGTAGGAAATTCACCTGGTGTAATACTCTTGAAGGGAAAAAATGGAGTAGAATAGATAGATTTCTCCTTAGTCCTAAATGGTTAGTGAGATTCAAACTTAAACTTTGGGGACTCCCAAGAACTATTTCTGACCATTGCCCACTTCTACTCATGGAGGATGGTAGGGATTGAGGGCCCAAACCCTTCAAAATTCTGAATGCATGGACCCTACATCCATCTCTGGCTTCCTTGGTAGAGAGCAATTGGGGAGAACTACATCTGAATGGATCGGTAGGTTTCATACTGAAGAGGAAATTGCAGTCCCTAAAGTTGGTTTTAAAAAAATGGAATCAAGAGTCTTATGGTAATGTTGCTAGAAAATTAGAAGCCTCTGAATCTGCTTTGCATGATCTTGATCTAAAAGCTGAAACCAGGCCTCTGGATGAAAGTGGATTGGTGCTACAAAGAGAGAAAAGGAATGAAATGTGGTCTTTGAGTAGGAAGATGGAATGGGAATGGCTCCAAAAATCAAGGTTGGACTGGAACCTGAAAGGGGATAGGAACACGAGGTTTTTTCATGTCATGGCCACTAGTAGACAAACCAGAAACACTATTAATTCCATCACAATTGGGGATGTGGTCATTGAGGGTCCAGTTTCTGTCAAGAATGAGGTTTGGCTTCACTTTTCTAGCCTTTTCAAAGATGGCTGGAAAGTGAGACCAACCTTGACAGGTGAATTCAAAAACATTAAGCTCAGCACCCATTTCCATGTGCTTGAAGCAGATTTTTTTGAAGATGAAGTTTGGGCAGCAGTAAGTGATTGTAATGGGGGCAAAGCACTAGGACCTGATGGATTTAATCTGATGTTTTTCTAGAAATTTTGGAAAGTGCTTAAAGGTGAAGTCCTCAATTTTATGCAAGAGTTTCACGACAGTGGCAGATTATTCCCAGGTTTGAATAGCTCATTCATATCCCTTGTATCAAAGATGGAGAAAGCTATAACACTAAATGAATTCAGACCTATTAGTCTGATTGGTTCCATCTACAAAATTCTATCTAAAGTCCTCACAAATAGATTGAAGCTAGTTATGCCTTGGATTATAGGTGATACACAATCTGCTTTTCAGCGAGGTAGAAACATCTTGGATGGTATCTTGATTGCAAATGAAGTTGTGGATAGTTAGGTCAAATCCAAGAAAGTTGGGCTGCTACTTAAAATAGATTTTCAGAAGGCTTTTGACTCCATCAACTGGAATTTCCTTTTTTCAATGTTGACAAAATTTGGGTTTGGCGAAAAATGGATCTCTTGGATTCAGGAGTGTGTCACTACTGCTAGAATTTCAATTCTTGTCAATGGATCTCCAACTAAGGAGTTTAACCCCCAAAAAGGGCTCAGGCAAGGTGACCCCTTATCACCATTCCTTTTCAATTTGGTTGTTGAGGCATTAAATATCCTTCTTTAGAGAGCTATAGAACTGAGATTGCTTAAAGGGGTATCAGTTGGGGCCAATGTTGAGGTGAAATTATCTCACCTCCAATTTGCAGACGATTCACTCTTGTTCTGTGAAGCTAAGTTAACAGAGGTGCTAAACTTGAAAAGAATTCTTCGATGCTTTGAAGTGGCTTCAGGACTTAAAATTAATTATCATAAAAGTGTGGTTTGTGGGATTGGCATCTCTGGATCTACCCTTACTGAGTTTGCTTCCCTCTTGAACTGTAAGTCCCAAAATCTACCATTAAAGTATCTAGGTCTACCATTGGGTGCAAATCCTAGAAGGAAGAAAACTTGGAAACCAGTAGTTGAAAAGGTAAAACTAAGGCTAGATAGTTGGAAAAAGGAGGCTTCACTACAACAAAAGTAACCTATGGTGACGAAAAGTAGTGAAGAAAATAAATTTCGTCACTAAATAAGAATAATTCATGACGAATTATAAAATTTTGTCGCATATAATAAAAAAATAAAAATAATTGGTGACGAAATTTATTTTCGTCAATAAATACTTCTTTTTAGGTGAGGAAAAATTAAGTTTCGTCATCAAAAGTTTTCCCGCTAATTTTTTTGGGTGGCGCCAAAATTTTGAGACTTTTGATGAGAAAAAAATTTGTCACTAATTATAAAATTATTAGTGAGGAATATATTTTTGTCACCAATAATTTTACATTTTTTTTTTGAAAAACTTGATTTAAAAAATTTAAGATTATTTGGTGAGAAATATATTTTCGTCACTAATCAACTTGTTTGGTTCTGGTTTTCAGAAAATTCTACTTTTTTTATTTTCCATATTTTAATATTTTCAATGAAATTTTTTAATATTTTCAGCTATTTTTTTTTTAAAAAAAATTTACACACACCTAACATAAATATACTTAAAAAATATAATACACTACTAGAAAAGAGAGCTTTAGCCACGAAACTTTTTGCGACGGTCTAAAAATTGTCACAAAAATTGGTTTTTGCGACGGTAATAAAATATGCCGCGAAATCATTTTTTTTTGCGATGGCAAGTGATTGTAGCCGAAAAGGCACCAGGTAAATATTATTATTAGAGACGGACAACCCACAATCGTCGCAAAAAGGGTTTTTTTTTCATTTTGTTAATTTGCAACGACCTTTCAAACCGTCGCAAAAACTTAATCCTCTAATTTTCCACTTTCGCACATCTCTCTCTCTCTCTCTCTCACACACACACACACACCTATCTCTAATATTTTAGTCTTCTCTCTCATGTCCAACCTTAATTTCACTCCATCTCTCTCACACCACTACAACAAAAGTAACATATAGTAATAAAAATTAGTGAAGAAAATAAAATTTCTCATTAAATAAGAATAATCTGTGAGAAATTATAATTTCATCACATATAATAAAAAAATAAAAATAATAGCTGACGAAATTTATTTTCGTCAACGAATACTTCTTTTTAGGTGAGAAAAAATTAAGTTTCGTCACCGAAGGTTTTCCCATTAATTTTTTTTGGTGGCGCCAAAATTTTGATATTTTTGGTGAGAAAAAAAATTTGTCACCAATTATAAAATTATTAGTGAGGAATATATTTTTGTCACCAATAATTTTACATTTTTTTTTTGAAAAACTTGATTTAAAAAATTTAAGATTATTTGGTGAGAAATATATTTTCGTCACTAATCAACTTGTTTGGTTCTGGTTTTCAGAAAATTCTACTTTTCTCTCTCTCTCTCGCTTTGTCTCCATCATCGTCGGGAACAGGAGCACCACCGCTATCGCACACAAGCACCATTGTCGATCCACCATTGGAGCATTACCCAGGTATGTCCTTTCTATTTCGCCCTCTCTGTCTCTCTCTGTCTTCTTCCATTCGCATGGCTTCACACAAACCCAGCCCCAAATCGACCCATCCACCGCCATTGAGTTTAATACAGATTCTTTCTCCACCGAGAACAACCACCATCGGCTCTCTTTTCCCTTTTACTCATTCTTTCCCCCTCTCTCTCTCTCTCTATATATATATACACACTATATAATTGTTATATAAATTTGGCTATGGTGAGAGTATGTGGATGACCTGTTCGATGAAATTCTAAAATGGGTTTTGAATTAGAGAAATTATGATAGTCTATTAAATGAACTGGGTTTGGACTGATTGTCTTTTGATCATATTAAAAGATGTTGGAAATAAGAAGAATACAAGGAATGTTACTCTATATGAATTTATTGCTTTATAGTTCTGTTTAGCTTGGAGTGGACAAGTTAGGTGGATATAAATTATTCTTCTATTGCTGGTAATTTTTTGGGTTTTCTTTAAGCTTTTATTAGTTGTTAGAAAAAGAGTAAGAGACCAGCCAATGCTCTAACAGCACTTAACATGGGAAAATGTGGTTCTACACAGTTGACCTGTTGTGATGTTAATGGTTGATCTTTGTTTCTCAAGTGATCTATTCATCAATCTTGTAAATGGTATCGAAACTAGAGTTTTGTTTATATGTGGTTATTTCAAGTTACATTTCTTTGTTGCTTTGAAGCTGTAATGGTATTGAAGCTGTAATTATTGCCCTGGTGATTAGGTGATTCCATTTTAATTGATTAGTTTTTCTTCTCATATCTAAATAATGTTTTTTTTTTTCATTTTTTTATTCTCCATATTTTAAAACTTGAACTTTTGTGTGTGTATGTGTGTGTGTGTGTTTTTTTTTTTTTTTTTTTTTTTTTTTTTTTGAAAAAAAATTTTTTTGTTTTTTTTTTTTTGTTTTTTTTTTTTTAATTTTGGATTTTTGTTTAATTTTTTTTTTTTTTTTTTTTTGGTATCTATCCATATATTATATTATAACACACAGATTGAGGACTGAGTCATTGGAAACATATAATGATTTATTTAGAAGATACAATGGTTGTTCCTTTAAGTTTTAGCATAAAGTTTTACAGTAGATGTAGGATAGTAATTGGTTGCTTTTGTTTATATCAATAGGATTAAAATGACAATTTCCTTGTCAGGGACTTCAAATGATGGATTGGAAACTCAAAATTATTTTTCGCTGTACATATTATTGACAAGATCAGTTTCTAATTTTGTAGTTGCAGAGGTAGTAGTGTTTCTAATTAGTCTTTAGTTAAATAAGTCCTTCCCTATCCTTTTTACTTCAGTATATGTTCTGCTTTCCTTGATGTCATTTGGGGACAGTATTCTGCGGGCATGTATCTTGACTGTCTCTACTTGACCTGAGGGAAAGAATCAAGCTGAAGCAAATTTTATTCTTCCTGAGTTTAACAAGCTAGCAGCGGAGGTCAAATTGACTGTATGATCATAGTCTGGGTGAGTACAATTTCTGCGAGCTACTCCAGAATTTGGTAATAATCCTATAGCTTACCTCCAACTCGACAATCAATAGGAGACATGCTTGTAAAAGTTTTGACTAAATTTTTCTAATTTTTAAAATTGTATAGTCAAAAAATGGACCTAAAAAGTACATAGATATTTTTTTTGACTAGTATGGTCCTTCGGCACATCAATGTCAAATGTATGAGATCCTTTCTCAGAAAGAATGTAACCCATGTCTGCAGTTTCCTTAGCTGCGTCATCCCTCTCTTTATCAAATTGAGCAACTGTTTCCTCTCTAGCAATCCTCCTAATTTTTGTCCGATGATCAATTCCTTCTTCACTTGACAAGTGCCTCTGTAGACTACCGTCAGTAGAAGGTATTCTTAACCAGGTATAATTCTTCTTTTGCACAACTAACAAAACTTGGATTAGACAAAACTGCATCAATCACAATCTTCCCCCTCTTCAGACTTGCAAATGGAAGAACTTGTAGTTTTACAGTAGGGACCTCCCCGCAAGAGAACTCTTCATTATGAGGCCCAATTGAACAAGACTCCAAGGTAATGCTCAAAGGTGAAATTCGCCGAACCTTACCAAAATCAAGCTCGCGCTGAATATACTCGCCCAGAACCGAACAAACAGAAGGTAAAAGCTTCGCTTCAACAAAAGTCTTGGCTTTTGCCTTCCCATACCAAACCAGTAAGCACACCCAAGATATCACGGCAAAAAAAATAGAGCACCTCATTAAAAGTAACCCTTCTTCCCACAACCGAACCAAAGACCTAACCAGAGCTTTGTCTGCAGAAAGGGGCTTTGTTACATGTTTCACAATTAACCCGCCTCCCAACCCTAGGTTCTTCCATTGCAGCTCCACATTTCTTCCACAAAAATGAGAAAACCTAATCCCCTAAAAAACCCAATGATTTTGCTTTGCACATTTACACTTGCTGAAAGCCCTTTTGGGTAGTTTTACTTTGTCTAGACAAACTAAATTGCCGTTGTTTCTTCTATTTACAGAGTGTTGAAGAGGACACCGCAGAAATGGGCTATGTAATTTGGTGCTCATTATCTCTATTTATACACTAACCCAATTCAGAACTCATTTTCTGGGGACCAAGAACCAGCTCAGTCCCCTAAATTTTCAGAATATTAACCAGTGCCAAAAGAATCAACACCTACACAATAATCAAAATGAAACATCTCTAATTACCTATAATTTCAAAAAATAAAAATAAAAAATCAAACACAACCACCAGATATTAGACATAACACTCTGTTTGGATGGGATGATTTGGTCAGAAATCATGAGAAATTGTGAGGACCGAAAAAAAAAAAAGAACAACTCTCTTATTTTGGTTATTTCATTTCTCACCAAAAGTAGTTGCCTCCCAAAATTCAAACAAAAAAAAATGTCACCCATAACCCTTTCCCACATGTTTTGCTTGCTTACCCATCCAAACATATGGTGAAAAACGCAATCACTTGCAATTATTTCTTTTCTTTTATCACCCACAATCCAAACAGATTACAAGTTATTTCCCTAACTCAAAATGGAAATTCATACACATTTTTTTAGGACTTGACAGAACATTAAAGAATTAAGTTTACCAACCAAAAACTGTGAAATCAACATACAGATATGAAATCCATATGAAAGTAAAGATTTTGCACTCATTTTTATAATAGAAATAGAAATACATACATATGCAATATGCATACATAGATACAATGACATTTAAAGTAGAAAATCAGAGTCTAACAACATTTCTCGAGTACATGTAAGGATAGGATTCAACATAAATCTCGATTTGAACAATTCTCTGAGATTGCTTCTATGAAGTTGCGTCTGTCCTTTGATTTCCCTCGCTTCCTGAATCTAGAGAGAGAGAGAGCGAGAGAAAGGTCTGGACTTGCTTGTTGATGAGTATTATATTTATTATTGTCCTTTATGCTAATTATATAAATGGTGTGTATCATAACTTGTCTTTGTAGTCATTTTACCTAAGGTTAAAATTGTAATAAAAAATAAACTAATTAATGATTTGTCTTGAGAGGAAAAGTGGTGTGTAAATAGAGCCTCCCTTGTGTTGAATTCCACTTATCAAATTTACCTCATTGAAGAAGTCATCGGCCCATTGTCGTGAATCAAATGTACCTCAATGTTACATTATATTTTGAAGTTATTATATATATTCTGCCATTAGTGATAGTGATATATGGTATTCTTGCAATCTTTTGGCATCTTATGTTATCCGTGTTGCTTTATCATCAAAGATCACCTTAACTCTTTGAAGTTTTGAATTGTTATATGCATTTCTACTAAATTGGTTTATAAAATAAAATTATTTATATATGAGTTTAGATGTAATTGATAATATATTAACGTTTTCCTTTTTTTTTTTCTTTGCAGATTGGTTTTTGATGACGTTTGGAAGCATACTTGCAAATGAAGATCAACTGTTGAATTTTTTTTTCTTGAACTGATACTTAGTTCTAGTTGCAAATCAGGATCGAGTGTTATTTTTATTTTTGGACTCAACGTTAGTTCGTTTTGGAATTTGCTATGATGGTTTTTGTTTATTATACTTAATGGATTATTAAATTCATTTGTTTGATGGATTTATTTTCATTTATAATATAAATTGTTTAATGAATTTTTTTGTGGAATGGTGTATAATAGCTAGTGGATTTATTAATACATTGAAAAGACTATTGAGATATGAGCAGGGATATTTGTGAAATAATAATTTAAATTGGAATATAAAATATGGAACAAGTTCAATGACGAATTTTTTTCGTCAAATTATTTTTCGTCACGGTGGTTTTTAGTGACAAACATTCAATGACGAAACCGGTGACGAAAATATTTCCTCACAAATATCTATAGTGATGAAATTAGTTTTTTGAAGACAAAAAAATTTCGTCATTCAAGGCCCAACTTGTTGTAGTGCTTCTATCTTATGCAGGTAGATTAACCTTGGTGAAAGTTGTGTTATCAAGTATACCTGTGTACTACTTACCACTATTCAAGCTACCTGAGGGAATTGCAAAGGAGATAGACAAAATTCAAGCATCATTCTTATGGGGAGGGCCAGATTTGAAGCATAAAATTCACTTAGTAAAATGGTCAGAGGTTACCATGAGTATAAAGCAAGGTGGTTTGGGGGTTCAAAGAATCAGAGATGTGAATGTGTGTCTACTTCTAAAATGGTGGTGGAGATTTGCTTCTGAACCAATGTCACTTTGATATAAGGTTATTTGCAGTAAATATCGGTTCCTTGGCGGAAAATGGGTTCCAAACCCAAGTTTAAACACCTCACCCTCATATATCTGGAATGGCATAGTGGCAGCAGGTGAACAAAACCAGTCTCTCTCACTTTTCTATGCTAGAAACCTCCAGTTAAAGGTGGGGAATGGCTATCGCATAAGTTTCTGGGTTGATCCTTGGTGTGGGAATCTCTGTCTAAAAGATGAGTTCCTTCGCCTTTTCAGTTTATCTTTACAAAAGGATGGCCCTCTAAAGGATTTTGTGGAAGTATCTAGCGTAACTAAGAATTAGTTATTCACATTTAGGAGGCCACTCTTTGTTTGGGAAAAGAATGAATTGCTAAGGCTCTATGGCATTGTAGGTTCAGCCCCTCTCTTCAATTGGAGACTCCAGATAGTGCAGTTTGGAGAGCAGCCAAGACAGGGCAATCTTTTATGTCTAACCTATACAATCATTCCAGCAGTGCTTATGGAGGGACTGAGAGCTTCAGTCGACTAGTTTGGATCAAGTTTCTTCCTCATAAGGTCCAGTTCTTTGGTTGGCTTGCATGGAAATACATGATCAAAACTTCTGTTTTCTTGCAGCGGATTAGAGTCTTGCCTAGCTCTGCCTCTTCATTGTGCGTATTTTGTAAATCACAGCAGGCATCTTTGGAGCATGTTCTCATGCTCTGCCCATTTGTTTGGAGAGCATGATCAGGTCTTCTACAGTGGTGGGGTGTCTCTTGGGTTATTCCTGACTCTGTCATTGGTCTGCTGCAATGGTGGTCAGGATACCCTTGCAGGAAAGTTGAGCTGAGGATTTGGCGTGCCATTCCTCTGGTATTACTCTGGTCAATCTGGAAGCATAGGAATGATTGTTTTTTTAATGCATCTCATTCAAATCTGCAGGAGCTGCAAGAGCTGATTCTCATTAGGCTTGCTTTCTGGCTTTAAGGCTGCTTCAAAGGAGCTCAATTTTTCGATTTCAGATTTCCTCTACAATATCTCAGAGGTGAGGCAAGGTTTGTTATAGTTTGGTGAGGCTAGTAATGTGAGCTTCTGGGCTCTTTGAAAAATTCTGATTCAGTTTGCTGTGGTGTTTTGTTAGCTTTAAGTTGGTTCCTGTGTTTGTTGAGCTTATTGAGTTTGACTGGGGGTGCCTTGTGAAAAGCTGCTGCTGCTGGTGATCTGTTCCGATGGTTGTTGGTGATTTGATCTTATGGTTGCCCTAGACCTGTTCTAATTTAAAGGTTGTTGCTGGTGTTATGTCACCTGCTGGGTTGTTTGATCTGAGTATACAAGCTGCTGGTGTTCAGTTTTAGGTTGAGTATGCAAGTTTCTGATCTGTTCGGATGGCTGCAAGTGATCTGTTTTAATGGCTGCTGTGATCTCTTTTGATCTGTTCTTATGGCTACTAGTGTTTTTGTTCTAATTGCTGCTGGTGTATTGATCTGAGTATTGATCTGCTTTGTTGGTTTGGTCTGTTCCTTTCGTTGGTTCCTTACCAACTTAGGGGTGCTTGCAAATGATAGGATGAGCTTTTTCGTGCCAACCTCGTTGGGATGATTTAGCTCATTGTGATGCTCCTGCACCTCTCCTCTTTTTCTCTTTATTGGTGTAATTTGTTTTGTACCTTATACTACATTTTCATCAATGAAGTCTCTTCTTTGCCGTACAAAAAAAAAAAAAAAAAAACACACTATATCATGAGGCTACCAAATAATTGAAAAACAACATAGAGATGTAATTATTTTATAATTGATAAAGAGTATCACGTACAATTACCACATGATATTTTATATAAAAAGATTGATACATATAATTTAAGCTTTATAATTATACCCACAATAATAAACTATATATTAATTTTTAATTTATTACAAACTCAATTATATATAAATCCTAACTCCTTATTCATATAATTGTAGATAGACAAATTGTGAATGAGTCTCTAACATGCTTCATTTCCTTTGTAAAACACGTGGTCCAGACGCCAGTTGGTTTTGTTGTGTTGGGGACCAAACAAGGTGAAGCCTCAACCAAAGAAAAAAAATTTAGGTTCAACCAAACATGTCCACATTCTTGCCTAGATATTAGAGTGATTTAATTTCTAAATGAGCCTTGAACAATGTTGAAAAAGGGGTAAAATAAATAATCATCGCCAAATTTTAAATGAAATACATTAGATCTTATAAATTTAATTTAATTATATCGACAGTTTTTTTTTTAAAAAAAAAATTAATTAACATAACAATTAAGCTTTTTTAGTAATAATTCATTAATTGTATGGGTAAAAAAAATAATATTATCATATATTTTATACATGTTTATTTTTGTGTCTACAAACTATATATGATCCCGTTTAATAGAGTTGTGGGAAAGTGATTATAACTTATACCTTAACAACTTATAACTGTGAACATAAATTAATTTTTGACTTATAAATTAAATTTCTCCTTCCCCACTCAAAGAATAAGTTGATTTTTGACTTACAAAAAGTTATAAGCTGTATTATTAAGCTGAACCAAACACATCAAAATAGCTTAAATTAAGCTAAAAACTGAAATAAACTGGAAATAAATCTTATCAAATAGAGCCTATATATATATATATGTATATTAGTTTTAATTATTTTAATCTAATTAAAAAATAGGTGCATGCAATTTACCTTTAAAATTTTTATTTATTGATTGATTTCTTAGTGTTGGAGGTTGACTGTGATATGAGCTCATTAGTGATAGGGTGACAAAAGCCTTTTTCTTTCATCTGCTGTACGTTTTGTAAACAGAAATGCATTATTTTGTACGAATAGAAAATAAAAGTGACTCAATCATTATAACATTTAAGTTGTCATTTAAGGTATAGGAGTTCAACTTTTCAAAAATTGAATTCAATAAGATCTGATTTTAAAAATAAAATAATAATAAGAAAAAATTTATTCATAAATTTTATACGGGGAATGCTGATCTATATACAATTTTTTTATGAACTAATTAATCTTTTTTATTTTAAAAAGTTATATTTATTTGATTTAATACTATTTGAGTTTAAGTGAATACCATTTTATAATTCAATTTTTTAAGTTTCTTATTCGTTTTTGGAATGAAAATAGAAAGGTGAAGTATGAAAGATTCTTTTGGAGGGATTGGTGGCTCAAGTGTTGGTTGTCGAATATAGAAATCTATATTTCTGTTAATGTGATTTTTCGGTGTTACATTAGAGTGTTATGTTTGGAAGAAATACACTAATGAATTTATGTGTGTTAAATTGATTGAAGTGTTACATTTGAGAAAAATATACTAAGGAATTTTTTTTAGAAATGTCATTGATTTAAATATTACGTTTAGAAAAAGTACACTAACGAGTTTTTTTGAAATGTTAGATTGTTACGTTTGAAAAAAGTGTATTAATGAGCTTTTTAATATGCTACATTGAAATATTACGTTTTGAAAAAGTACACTAATACTGTGTTTGGTTGAGGGATTTAGGAAGAAATTTGGAAAGAGAATAAGAAAAGGTAGGTGGAATATTAATAAAATATATTTATATTTCACATAATTTTACACACATTTTCCTTTTTTTTTTCCTTCTAAATTCCTTCCCAAACCCTCAACAAACACAGCATAAAGAGTTTTTTTGATGTGTTACATTAGAGTGTTACGTTTTTTAAGTGTTACATTGGAGTATTATATTTGGTAAAAATGTACTAAGGAATTTTTTTGAAGTGTTATATTTAGTAAATTCAACATTACGAGAAAATTTATATTTGTCTCTCAATATATAACACACACGTTTATATTTGGTCATTTATATAATTTATACTAGAATAAGACTTTTAAATTTATAAAAAATTTAAAAATTAAACAATTTATAAAATTACTATTTAAAATTTAGGAAAAATTACTCATAAATCCCATTTTAGTAAATGTTGCTCTAGTTAGTCCTAAGTGTTTTTTTCTTAAACCATTTAGTCCTTTTTATTTTTGGTATGATATATATTTTTAATATGTTGTATGTAGAGTTTACATTTTTATCCATATTGATTTCATTTTGCAACAACATTATCCACATCATCAAACATCAACTACATCATCATACATCATCAACATCACCAACATTGTGAACATCATCATCATCCCTAAAATTCAAATTTGTGAGACTCGTAAGCTCTGAGAATCTAGTTTCGATGGTGAATTAAAGGAAGGTGAGACTTGGAGAGAGGTTTTAATCAAAGAGTATTTGATCTATTTCCTTGGAACATCACTGCGTTATACGTTCTCTTCCTGACCCTCTAGGGACTCGACTTCCTCCGCAAGGGCCTGATCAGCGTGATTCAAAAGCTCCTCAAACTGTTCCTCTCGATGGTGCCATTTTGCAGTTGATATTGTTGTACCAGAACATGTAAGTTGATGTTTTGA